TACAGAGGAGCGAAATAAGATGTAAGCCCCCTATGGCACGCCAACCGCGCCCAAAGCGATCTCTCGAGATGCAATTTCAGAAGGCGGAAATTTCCTATACACTCGGGAGTGTTACCTAGAGCAAAAATGAATTGCAAAGAAAATTTTAAAAGTTGAAAAATGGATGAACAAGTATCAAATCGAGTGGCGGTGCGTACAAGATAATATGAACCGTACGTGTGAATCCATGCAGTGACCGGGGTGGGGAGGCCTAGATCCTTGAGAAAATTAACATTCGCGTTCTCCTAACACCCCGATCCGACCTCGGGCAAATACTGGTTGTTTCTTTACTTGTGGATTGTTGTGTGAGTATGTACTATCTGTCAGCTTCTCACTCGTTAATGTTCAATAAATTTATATGATTTTTGTTACTATATGTTTCATACGTTTCAGTAAATAAATCACAGAGTAATAGCTATTGGCCTACACGTAAATAATCACGAGCGGCAAACATGAGCATGGAACGACTTCACCGAAGCCTATGCTATGGGTTTACAGATGAATATATGTAGTAAGTTTTTATATAATTTATATTTTATTATTTCTCCACTTTTTATACTTTTTTATTTATTTAATTGTTTTTTATTTTTTTTTTTCTTATTAATTTTTTTACATTTGGGGAATGGCCGATGCGGTGTGCCCAGAGTGAGAGAAATTGGCGCGGGTAGACTATGGGGGATGGAGGAAGTGTGAACGGTCCAGGGCATGGGCAATTGGGGATGCGATAATGAGGATGGAGCGGAGTGGCATGAGAAGCTAGAGAATGCATGGAATGGAAGTGCTGATGGGATTGGATGCATGATAGAAGTAGGATAAAGTCGTGTGATTTTTTTTGGGTAATTTTGTATTTCAAGCAAGCGCTCACCAACTGAGTAAAAGGCCATCTGATTCCGGGAAACGCCGGTCCCGCTAGTATATATATATATATATATATATATTATATAGGTATATAATAATATAATATATATCATGAATCATGATATATAGTATATAGATCTTAATTATATATATATATATCATAATCATATATATTATATATATCATATATATTAATAAAGTGTCAGACAAGGTGCCCGGTCAACTCCACTATAGCGCGCCCAGCAATAACGCGGGTAGGCCTACCTATATAATACGATCATGCGCAATAATGATATAAAAACAGTTTAATTATTCAAGTATTTAATAATTTAATACATTTTTACGTAGCTTGGCCGCCAGAAGAAGACCGCCAGCACATTTCGAGGAATTAATCATTGCGAAGAAGGAAAGCTAGGTTTTTCAGTTCAACTATAGTTTTGCTAAGACTCGATAAAGGTGAAACATGATAAGGAGGCTTCAGAACGACGCAGAAATTTGAATAATGATGACGTAAAACGCGCTCTTTTTTGCTGCATTTGTGCATTTCATATATGCACGACGATTTTTTGGTTATACCAAAGGAATCGAAAAATACATTCAAGGTACGCGTGCACCTAGCAACTACATATTTTTTTGACAACTAGGTACATATATTTTCCATGACTCAATCAATCAGGTCGAGTCTTCTCGAGAAGAATGGTGATGGCATGCCAGGATGGTCTGTGCAGCATAATTGACCGAATTTCATCGGCTGACTGCAGGCCAGTATCGCGTCTGAGTTGGTCGATAAACGTCAGTCGCTGGCCGCCCCGAGAAGCCCAACCCTGTTGAGGTTCCCAGGGAACCAAGTCGTGCGCGGCAACATTACTGTGTCGGACACAGTGCCCCGCCAAACGCAATCTTCTCTATCGTATCTTAGAGGAGAGCGGTGGTAGTTCCCCATAACGCACCTGATTCGGAACACGATCCTGCCAGGTGACATTACATACTTTTCGGAGCATACTCGTGTAGCATCCATCAAGTCTGGTCTCGTCTCGTACTGTTAATGTCCAGGCCTCGCATCCGTAAGTGAGAATTGATTCTACCGAGGTCACGAAGATACGATTTTTTTGCCCTTTCGCCATATTTGAGTTCCAGATGTTGTTCAGCTTGTGGAGCGCACGCCAAGGCTGGGCCTTTCTCACGCCAATATCTTTACCTGACGAGCTGATATACGAGCCTAGGTACTAAGGTAGGCCTACTTGAATTCATCATTGACAGCTAATATTTTACCATCGAGAGTAGTCAGCTCTACGTTATCCGGAATGTTAAAGGGTACTACCTCGGTCTTTTTAGTATTCAAGGATAGTCCAAGCTTTCTGCATTGAGTCTCCACACCACATGGCAATTCTTGAGCTTGGTTCACCGAGTCACTTGATAGTGCAATATCGTCAGCAAAGTCAAGATCCGTTCCATGACTAATTCACAGCGGATGTTGTAAAAATGAAAGGAACCCAGAACGCGGGCGTCTCTTGCTTGCTCAGCGCTCTTTCAGCTATTTTACCCATTTATGGGACTGGTCATCCCAATATTGACAGTGCAAGTGAGGTAGCACTAAGCACCCCACGTACAATGCGAGCACGCGGCATGCGTAAGCAGCAATAACAGCGAGACGTTGTGATTGGCCGAGATCATGATAAAGTTGATTGAGTGTGAGATAAGGAGAAGAGTATGTATGTGGAAACCGTGTAACGTCGCACAAGATAAAATCGAAGCGGTGTAATCGTCAGCATCGTAAACGAACAGCCATGGCGGTCGAAGGAACGTTTAAGTTGATGAAATATCTGTTGCTGGTCTTCACGTTTTGTTTCTGGGTAAGTTTGCGTGTTCGCGTCGGCCTATACAGGACCCGGAACATAAATATGATAACATTGTGCGAATAATTAAGTTAATATTATATATATTACTGAGCAACCTAATTAATGTTTGAATATATGGCACAAATAAATTTTTCTTCGCGTACTATTAATTCCGCTCTGTTCTACATTTCCGATGTTCAAACAATCTAAACTAACTATATCTTGTTTTTGTTTTTTCCAAATATATATATACATATATGAAAAAAAGAATAACCCGACATTTCGTTTATATAATATACTAGCGCTTTCGACATTATTATTAGAAACCGATAGTGTATAACGGAATGGCGGATTATTCTTTTTTTCAAATATTAACAACTGAATACTGTATTGTGAAACCCAAGAACTTTTCAACAATATATATATATATATATATATATATAGTCAGAGATACGATTTGACGTGAACATGGATGGATAACTCAGGCGTTTAGAATTAGGGGGGAAAATTTGGAATTTTTCACGAAACGTGAAAAAACGATCGTGTAAATCAGATCTTATACAGCAGCCGAACATATACGAGCATCACACCGCCAGCAAATGATTTTACTAGCGATTAATTAATCGCTGTTTTGTTCAGAGTCATAGGAAAGGTGTTTGAAATCTTGTGGCAAACCCTATATTCGCTCTCCTTCACAGACGTAGCGCGCCTAGCCAGTATGTGAAAAACATGAAAATTCGTGACTAAAAAAGCTTTTTAGGCTTCCTATTTCATATATTAGGTCGAAGGGTTTATGCCACTTTGTTGCATTGCCCTTGTCGGGCATTTTGTTTATTTCAAGCAGTTTAAATTTCTCATGGACTTTACATTTTGGCGCGCCCACGAAGCCAATGTTCAGGGCGCCGCTGTTCGCCCCTGCTTTCGCTCATGAATTAGGCACTGGTTTCGTTTGAATAACCGTAACGCTTGCCAAAGGCTGCATAATATCAAGAGTAGATTATCTACTCTTGATAATAGCTTGCGCAATGCGCCATTTTGACGTTCGTGTGATATTGTCGGCAAAAATGGCGCCGCGTATTATTCACGAAGGCGCGTTCTAAAACAACCAGTATGAAAAGGAAAAGCCGCGTGGGTGCATGCAATAAATCCCACGTGACGTGACATCTATATTGCATGCACGGCATTGATGCACGGTTTACGTGCAGATCTCAAACGCGTATGTTGAGCTCAGTAAAAAAAATATACCGCACCCACATGTCATATTTATTGTCGCTATAGGGCCTATATTGTCGGGAATCTCAATCATTCCTACTGTTTTAGTTGTTCGGTTTCAAAGCTATTTCGGAGCATTATAGACAGCAGCGACGACAGTCACACAATATTCGTGGATGCGGTGCTTATACTGTAGCCCCCCGTGTGGCGTGTTTGTCGACTGAAGTTCAAACAGTTTTATTGCCCGTCTCGGCAAACACTATACGTCTTTAACCGCGCGCCCTGCATGGGTTCTCTCCATCATGCTTGTTCTTCACCAGCCGCGCGGCTAGGAGGCAGGTGCGCGGCAACCAAACACGCGACACACACCGCTCAATAGCCGCATGCATTCAAAAGCGCCGTGACGTATATAAGCGAGAATTCAGTTAAACGTCGGAAGCGCTGAGAGTCCTGAACGCGGTTTGTTGGAAGCGCACGATGCGTGACCGTCTGCGTTGACCACTGGCGCTAAAATAGAATGTGTTTTCTTGTGATTTCGGAACTGCCCGCAACCATGTTTACTCGGTGGCTGCACCGTGGGTGACGATATAATTCACAACATGTAAACTATTGATGTTATAACACAAGTACGTTGCGTGGCAGACGCGCTGAAACATGATATAATCGACGGAGAATAACATCAGGGGTAAAATCCTTTATATTATATTCAATTTTACTCTTGCAAATATGAACAACGAATAATATATAACCTGCGCATTGACTAACTTCACCATGGCAACCGATCGATATCCTGTATCTCTATACGTATATATATATAATATATATATGTATGTGTGTGCGTGTGCGTGTGCGTGTGCGTGTGCGTGCGCGTGCGCGTGCGCGTGCGCGTGTGCGTGTGTGCGTGTGTGCATGTGTGCGTGCGTGGTGCGTCTGCGAGTGCGTATATGCGTACGTGCGCGCGCGTGTGTATGGGTATCTATATATATATATATATATATATATATATATATATATATATACATATATATATATATACATACTAGGGACACAGTATAAGTATATCGACCGGTTCATTATAAAATATTATTATATAGATAGATGGGGGATTATTAGAAACAGGGAGCCCTTGTACATATCTTACCGTACACTGCACGGCCGTTATGTGTTGAGACGAGCACTCCGCGCAAAGTGTTATCGGCAAACATGCTGTAAGTAAATATTTCACACAAATTCATCACCATAAACGCGTTCTGGTGTCAACCCCGCGGGTCGGTCTAGTGTGCCTTGTGCTTTATATCACTTGGCAGATATGCGCTGATAGGATAATATGGTGTGACTGTGATTTATAATACCCTTCACGCCGGCTTTCTAGCTGTTTTTTTCCGGTCGAACGATGCATCGATGAGCAAACACCAACACCAACCAACGTTTACGCAAAGTATCTAAAAAAACTGAATGATTCCCGCAGCTTATCCGTAGAGTTGAACATGCGCTAGCTTTCACGTGTTTATAATATTTATCCTAAACTAAATAGCATGTTTTTATAAAGTCGGAGTGATGTAAGTTAGTAGGAGTCACAGACAGAAACGTAGTCTAGAAATTTGTAATTATTGATGTAATCCTAATAAAAAAATTAAATAAATCCAATACTAAGGGCTTTGAGCCCTGGAGTCAACATGCACAGCTTTAGCTACGTTCGATATTTCATCACCGGTTATTATCGATCCTAATAGCGTCTTTTTCTTTTCGTAGCGTCAAGGATATACCATCAGAGTGATGCCATGATGTACGACAAAAACTCTGAAATTAATGATAAAATATTGTAACATCCCTCCAAACGCACAATTTCATATTATATACATATCTTTTAATTGTTGAATCATTGTTTAAATTTACATATTTAATGTGTTGTTATCAGATGACTGCCATTGCCATGACAACGGTCGGTCTATGGTTCATCGGAGACATCAGATTCTTGGAATTTATCAAATATATATCAGGTAATTAGATTTCAGACCGTAAACTGCAATCTGATTTCGTTTCTGTGAAACGTATATAGAGCTCTAAGCAAATGAAACTTATACACAGGAAAGCGTGTTCATATAATAAATGTATTACGCAATCCGAGCAAACATCGGCATGATTCACCAGGGCCGTAGCTAGCCGGGATGGGAGGTGCAGGAGGGCAGCGGCCCCAGGCCTTAGTATAGTACCAGCGGTGAACGGCCAACTGTCAACTGCCCAGAAGAAAAACCGCATATGCTTTTGCCCCCTCGGGAAAAATGTGCGAGCCCCGACCCTATTACTAGAGCCGATGAAGCTCTACGCAGGTTTCCATGGTAACGGACTTTCGTTCGCTTGCAGCGGTGGAGGGAAGCCCCGACCTGTGGAGCATGAGAGCTAGCGGTATACTCATGCTCGTGCTGGGTATCTGCGGTCTCGTCATCGGCTTCTTCGGCTGTCTGGGATCGTTCAAGGAGAACAAATTCCTGCTCAGCACGGTACGTGAGGCGTTTCCGATGTGCGGATCGCAAAGTTTGTCAACGGATTGTGTGACGTAACGACTGAATTATTCGGCCGGTGCGACCGCACCAGAAATTATATTGGTTTTATGATCTTCATTATGATCTTCATTTTTATTACGCATTCGCGCGCGCGCCATGTTGGCTTGCGCGCCGGTTACTTAATGTCGCTGTTCTTTCTGCAGTTCTTCGTCTTGGTGTCATTTTTGCTTCTTGGAGTAATCGCGGTTACGGTCTGGGCGCTGATTTCCAGAGCAAAGGTAACACGTTCTTATTCGTGGTAGTCATGGGGCTGAGGGTTGTGTGGTAGTCACGGGGTGATGGTGGTGTGATAGGCAAGGGGCTGAGGGTTGTGTGGTAGTGTGTCGGTGGTTGGTGGGAGGTGATTGTTGATTTCAACGTCATTTAATACTAATAATAACTACGAAAGTATATAGCAGCAAAGCGAAGTACGTAATGCGCTCAAACGAATTTGTTCTTTACATTGGAGAGTCGCATCTATAAGGGAATCTTGGTTATGACTGTAATGTATTATACTGCAGATGTATGAGCTTCTGTATGCCGAGATAGACCGTTACGTAAACCTCTACTACACACCCGGATATGATGACATCCACTTCACGCTCGACCATTTACAACAGTTTGTTAGTAATTCATAATTAAACTGACCATCTCTTAATCAATCTGTCTGTTCATGTAACTACTCGATAGCTCGCCCACCTGCCCATCCATCCATCCATCCAGCTCTCCATGCATTCATTCATCCATCCGTCCGTCTGTCCGTCAGTCTTTCCGTCCGCTCGTCCCTCCCTCCGTGTGTGCGTGCGTGCGTGCGTGTGTGCGTGCGTGTGTGCGTGCATCCGTCCGTCCATCCACCCATCCCGGCACCATACTACAGCAACATATCGGCCATGTTTCAGAGCCGATGCTGCGGCGCTAACGGAACCGTCGACTACGCCGTACGTAACGTGGAGATTCCGAAGTCATGCATTAACGGATACACGGGCGAACGCTATCTCTCGGTGCGCCATCTACTGTCGTAAATCAATAACTCCCAAAGCGACCAACTGTTAAAATCGGATCCCCATGCAGAGCAGTTGATTGATGCTAGTAAAAACTGATATGTTGTCAAGGTTATATCTCATATTTCTTGTGGAAATCGCTGCAGCATGGAGTATGCGATTAATCAGTTTCGCCGCCTGGAGGGTTGAGATACTACACTGTCATGAACGCCATCGCGCGCATATATAGTAGATCAGCTGTTTCCTGCTGACGTGCATGACAATATAAAGCGTATGAATCTCCGATCCCCGCCGCCGCCGCTCACTGAACTTCTCTAACTACGAAATACGTATTGTCCCAAAAATACTGTACTCTGGCACGCGGTAGTGCTATGCATTTTGTAGTGTAATCGATGTCAACCTCATGATCACTCACTCTGCACGTCTCCAGAATAATATGAATGTAATTCTACGCTGGCGCAATACACGCGTGGTTCTTGTAAATTCCCTCCTTACCGTCTCAACTCGTTTCGTTTGCTGGAAAGCGTTGAAACGTAAATCTTACGGGTATTCGGTGACGCGAGTCCAACTTTCAAGTCCAACGCGTGCAACTTGCACAGACAATCTTGCATGGTTGTCTGGAAGGAGAAAAGAGAATGAGATGCTCTCGCTCGAACTGGTTTACAGAAGTTAAGTTGGTTAAGAGTTTAGAAGAAGCACCGTGGATTGTATCAGAATGGCCGAAAATCAGGATGAACGAAGATAGAGCAAATATCATCTTAGCGCCCCAACGATCGCGTGGCTACGGGAGTGACTTGACCTGACATGAAGTCTCTTACTGTTTAGGGCTGCTCCGAAGAGATCATGAACCGGTACCGAAGACACTTTGGGATGCTGATATCCTTGGGTACGATGGTGATAGCCGAACTGGTACGTATACAATGGGGGCGATACCATGATGTTGCCAACAGTGAAGCAAGTAGTGGTGTCGCTATAACAAAGCATGTGGCATGAGCCAAGACAGACAAAGAGAGAGCGAGAGAGAGAAAGAAAGAGAGCGAGAGAGAGCGAGAGAGAGAAAGAAAGACAGAAAGAGAGATAGAGAGCGAGAGAGAAAGAGAGAGAGAGAAGAGAGAGAAGAGAGAGAGATAGAGAGAGAGGAGAGAGAGAGAAGAGAGAGGAGAGAGAGAGAGAGAGAGAGAGAGAGAGAGAGAGAGAGAGAGAGAGAGAGAGAGATAACGATACAGTTGGGAAACAGCGGGATAATGAAGTTAATCATTATCCATTATGTAGGTGATGATGATGTAGTTATGCAGTTATGCAGTCATGCACACAGACACGCAGGCAGGCAGACAGGAAGTGTTGCATTGTAGAAGGAATTCCAGCGCAAACAATAACGACAATCATTTTTCTTGCAGATGGTTGGTCTGATGTGCACACTCTGTCTCTGCTCCAGCATCAGCGAGCAAGACGACAAATTCCGCTAAACACCATTCGCACCCGAGTCTCGAAACATTACGGCCATAAATATAGAACGTACGCTATACATACTAGATCTACGTCACGGCCATGAAGCGCCTAGCAGTAGCGCAGCAGGTGTAGAGAGAATACGGACGCGAAACGTGGGCCTAATACTCCTCAATGAGGGTGGCATGGTGATCAGAATTTCCTAATAGATTCGGTGCGTTTGAGTTGTGCATCAGGTAAAGCTACGCCTATTTTAGTGATAGATATCCTGTTAGTAAGTAGTCATGCGGTTTAATGCCTTCGCTCGACGGACGTTCTATCGCATCTCATTTGCCTATTCGTGTTTGTGAATGGTCATTATATTAGGTTTTTAGAAGTAAACAAATGAAGTAATAATAACCAATAAGTATTAGGATCAGAAGTGCATAATATAAAGATATCAATACACTTCTGTTACGATGATCTGTGACGATTTCATGCGATATCTGCATGCATATAATGCATACCTATATATTCAAGAACCTATTGCTTCTTGCAGTCAGCCGACTTTGTTGGTACCTATATAAATAGCTCTGCTGCACTTACAAAAAAGTTGATTGGTGTATAAACTCTGCTGACGTGAAACCAGATTTTATTACGATTTACGGGGAAAACTAAGAATAGATGAAAAGGTCTGCATCGTGCCACAACTAATACGAATATATGTCATTAAATGCGCGTGAAATAAAACCGCGTGGGGATACTGTGTGATCAAATATCGATTGCGAAGTTTAAGCACATCGCCGTTAAATGCGTACTTTTACACATTACACATATACGATTAATCGTATATATCACGAATAGAGACACAATCCACAGATATTAACGCTGCTCACTGAAAGCCCGTAAAAATCATGTTAAATGTTCACACCATTTATTAAATTCTGATTAATGTTATTATACAGAAGCAGGAGAGAAACAAACATACGTCTTACTTGTATGTCATACTATCATTATACATGTTATACACTACAATAGAAAACCACACTTAACCATGTAGAGTGACAAAACGAATATCGACGTCAGAATGAGAGAGGCGGGGGACACCTGCCCATGTCTACTGTACTAATGTCCACGGCGAAAATCCTGACAATTCATCTTAATATTTGTCTAATAAGTAGCTAATCAAATGCTATGCCTAATTGAAATGCGAAAAAATCACTACCTTCATGTGTATTTAGATGCCGGCTTTGCAACTACAATTAGTGACACTCACACCCAGCGCATGCTAAATACTCATAACCTGATATAAACAAGATATAGAAAATTAAACCGAATACGGCACACAACAATCTCGTGAGATAAAATAATTCACTGTATTATATCAACACGTCACAACACCTTCCACAAAACTCACACATGTTGACGAGTTCATTCAAAACGAGAGACTAATGATAAAGTGTCTCTAACGATTACAATAAATGTATATATGTGACCCGCTCCATACCAGCAAAACCAGGATTAAGTAGGAAATTCTACAAATTGAGTTATGTGCATATCTGAATAGATCAGTTAATTACCTTTAAAATGATATATAATATTTGGCTATATCTACAAAATTGACCGATCTACAGAAATTTGAAGATCGGAAACCGACTTATTCCGGAATATCATATGCAGCTTTTGAAATGTTTTTGTTTTTTTTAAATTAAAAATGACCATAATAATCTAGAGATATCTGAACCTATATATCCGGATTAAATATGCACTTAGGAACTTATTTTTGTAAAAATCTCATTTTTGTCCAGGTAGGCCATTTTCAGCATTGACATGTGTGCGTGCTCATTACTCAAAACAATGACTTGCGACTTAGTCCGTATTATGCTGGAGTGGGTCACATATTCTATAATGACGTATCCCTACCACAGGATAACAGCTAACTTCACGTATGCACGGCCGAGTTCTAGATTGCTAACGATTGCGAAATCTCCGCATGAAAACACCACGATGCATATGTGCACATTACAATCTGGAAGCTTTGTCACAACACTGCTAGCAACGGGTGTTTCTACGAAAATTTCCCAAAACCTAGACCTTGCATCAACAGGCCATATAGAAGATAATTGTGATCTTGCTGGCTGAGTGCTTCCTACAACAAAGAACACCTAGCACGTAAAAATACGTAAAATACAGAAGTAACACACACACACACACACACTCGCTACTCGACAAACACTGCTACGATTCTACTAAAACTAGCTAGACGCCAGTATTTTACCAGTGACGGACAGAAATACGTACCGTGATAAACCAGGCATATATCTAGTTGTTATCTTACATATGACACACAGGCACAACACTATTAGTGAACACCGACAACCGACTCTATCCTATAAACCCTACATCTTGTCTACATAATCTCCAAAGAGACGCTTACATGTTCTTTGCATGATGACTGTGAAAACAATTATACATTGGTCATTTACAGTGTAACTGCCACTACCAGTTCAGAGGAGATTAGGCCCAGAGTTAACCAGGTGCAAGTGTTAATGTTTTTGCACTATTAGTCATGATCTATGTACAAAAACTACATTCCCACTTTACAGACCCTAACAACAGTTCCCTTCCCCCTACTCCTACTCTACCATATACGTAACGCGACTTCACTTGCCGTGACTGCCACACTCTCTACACAAACACTATGAATCTACTCACAAAACGTCGCTCCCTTTTCGTCGGTAGCCAAACAGTGCGTTCTTGTAGCACGCTGCTCGTGTCAAGCGAGGGCTCTCTCACTCGCCAACAGTTCTAACCCCGCGCGTGCGTCGCCCCCAGATGCCCCCACCCAACCTCTCCGGGGTCACTCGTTGCCGTTGCCGTGACGACAACGCTCACTCCCCCACCGGTGCCCCCGTCTCCATCGCTTCCTCGTCCGCAGCGCCGCCGCTCTCCGGTTTACCCTCCACCGCGCTGTTCACAGGGGGCGCCACGGCGTCGAGCTCGCCGTTGTTGGTCGAGTTGATCGCCTGCACCTTTTCGTCCACCTCCTCCTCCTCGTGCTCCTCCTCTTTCTCCCGTGGAGCGTACTTCTTGACGTTGATGAAGGCGTGACCTTGAATTCCGCTCAGCTGCTCAGAGTAGAAGTTCACGAGCAGCTTGCGTCGTCCGTAGCGCAGCGCCTTCACCCATATCTTCGCAGTGACCTCCTTGTTGGCAGCAATCTGCCCTCTGTAGCAACGTGAAGGTCACACCGTCACACAGTCAGTGGATACGACTACGCTGATGTGAACATTTCACACACATATTTGAGCGAATAACATACAGGCGTTAACACGATAACAGAATGATTTCGTTACAGCGCAACTTCACTTTACATTGCATTGCATTACACGACATTACAGCATCATTAGATTCTATTACATCGCTAATTAATATCATATTATAAGAAATCATAAATTACGGCATTCCAACAGCCTCCGATTATCCAATTATTATCAGCGTCAGAGTCGAACGCGGCACTTTCTGCGTTGTAGTAGTACAGGGTATCTTACCGATGTCGCTGCATGCTGGCGTGGATCGCAGAGCCCTCTGCGTGGAAGTGGCCGTTCTTGAGAGCGATCGGCAGCGGATTGGTGAAGGTGACCTTCACCTCAAAGTCCTCGTTCATCACCACGGGATCCGCAAGAACCTGCAACACAGCGACAATCCCGAAGCTGCAGTAGCGCCCTCTGTGTCCGCAGCTGCTGCCGCGCAGTAAGTCGCAACACACGCAAGAAACTGCTAGACTCAAGTAGGGGTGCACCGGATCCAACTTTTTAAGTTCCGGCCGGAACCGGAACCAGCTGGATCTTGAAAAAAGTTCCAGCCGGAACTACCTGGCCGGAACCGGAACTTAAGCTGGGAATAAACTTGACAGTTTTGGCCCAGTATTGCGCAAACTCACTCAGCCTGAACGAAATATTATTAGCAGGCACATCACTCCGGCGATAGGACAATGCTCAGTTCTAATTACAGGATGGTTGTTAGATGTATGAATCGGCTGCTTACAGTGCATAATTCTGGCATCTTATTCGCGAGCGAATTCTGTGGCAAAACCTGCATGTTTTGCAGTATCCCTGGTTTTAGTCGATTATTTTCAGCTAACAGACAGATGCCATTCCTGTGGCTCTAAGAGTATTTGATTTTAAATGAAAATCTCGTGAATCACCTAACATCAGTTAGGTTCAGTTCAGTTAGTTAGCCGATGTTCAAGTGGCAAGCGTTTTTGGGCGGAATAGTGTGAAGTTGTTAACACTATATTGTCAGCAAGTTTACTTTATTGACTCTCAACTACATTCAGTGACTGATCTTTTGATCTTGATGACGCTTGTAGCAGAAATGAAATTACGAAAAAGTTCCGGTTCCGGCCGACTGTTTCTGAAGGGTTCCGGCCGGAACCGAAACTCTGGAAAATTGGGGATCCGGCTGGATAGTTCCGGCCGGATCCAAGTTCCGGTGCACCCCTAGACTCAACTGCTAGCGATACTGCAGTAAACGCCGCATCAAATCGCCACGAAACACGAGTTGAGAACGTTATAAACACATCCACTCAATCAGGACTCAATTATAAAAAAACATCAACTCAGGACTTTTGATATTGGTTTTCGATTTGCATTTCCTCGTGTCCGTTTCTCGAGTCACTCGAGAAGCTAATCCTCGCAAGAATGAGATTCACGCCCTCGTGTGCGGCTCGACTTGACCAAAGTACCAAACCATAACCAACGCACACGTTTGCAGCTCTCTTTCTCCCACGCACCAGTCAGGTTTTAATCAACATAGATAAGTTAATAGAGATGTATATGAGATTATTCAATATTATTAGTATTATTATTATATATTATATTATTATTATATTAGATATTAGTATTTGACTCCGGACTCGCGTTAATTTTGCACCCTGTAATATTATTCACCCCCGATATTATTATATTGAGATATATTATTATTATTCTATCATGAGATAATCGTCACCTCGACACCGAGACTCGGTTTCACGAAGTCTGTGATGTCAAACTCGACGAACAGCTGCTTGGTGTCGGCGACGCTCGCCTTGATGAACGTCTTCAGCGCGCCATCAGCCACCAGGTTGTCCAGGTAGTCGTCCTTACCAATCAGCATCGTCACCTTCTCCTCTGCAAACAGTTCATGAGAGCGATTCGTACGTGCAATGTTGGCCACGAGGGTGGTAGGAGGGTGGTCACGGTGGTGGATGTGAAGATGGCCGTGAGGATGGTACAAGTGTGACAACAAGGGTGGTACAAGTGTGACAACAAGGGTGACAACAAGAGTGGTACAAGTGTGACAACAAGGGTGGTACAAGGGTGACGAAGTCTAGTAGGGATCCGTAACGAGTGGGTACAAGCGTGAGCAACAAGGGTGGTAGCTAGTGTGACAACAAGGGTGGTTACAAAGTGTGGCAACAAGCGGTGGTACATAGTAGTGACTAGACAAGGATGATCACAAGATTGGTGACAAGCAAGGGTGGTAAACAAAGGGTGAAACGAGTGTACAAGGTGACAGACAAGGGTGGTACTAGTGTGACAACAAGGGTGGTAACAGAAGTGTGGTCAACAAGAGTGGTAGGGCAGAGGGTGGCAAACAAAGAGTGGTAGCAAGCGCGTACAGCATGACAAACAAGGGTGGTAACAAGTGTGACACAAGGGTGGTACAGAGGGTGACAACAAAGGGTGGTACATAGTGTAGAGGAGCAACAAGGTGGTACAAGTGGTGACAACAAGGTGGTACAAGGGTGACAGACAAGGGTGGTGACAAGTGTGAAACAAGGGTGGTACAAGTTGTGACAACAAGGGTGGTACAAGTGTGACAACAAGGGTGGTACAAGGGTGACAACAAGGGTGGTACAAGTGTGACAACAAGGGTGGTACAAGTGTGACAACAAGTGTGACAACAAGGGTGGTACAAGGGTGACAACAAGAGTGGTACAAGTGTGACAACAAGGGTGGTACAAGTGTGACAACAAGGGTGGCCGTGAGTGCGACCACGAGGGTGACATGAGGGTGGTACAACGGTGACACTAGGGTGGTACAAGGGTGACATGAGGGTGGTACAACGGTGACATTAGGGTGGTACAAAGGTGACATGAGGGTGGTACAACGATGACACTAGGGTGACATGAGGGTGGTACAATGGTGACACTAGGGTGGTGCAAGGGTGACATGAGGTACACTGGGCGAGCTTTTGACAATCGTATTAGAATTTGGGGAGCACACAGCCTCCCGGCATTCTGCGCCCCCACTACTACAACACCGCCTGACATCGCTAAGTTCCACGCATGGACAACACGCGCACCGCTCCATTAAGGGCACGACTAAGACAACTAGAAGGCGCTGCATACCGGCTTTCGGCTCCAGGCTGACGGCAAACTTCTCTGACTTGACGTCCTGTACGGTGATTCCCGTGTAGAATGCCATCTTGGCGCACATCGCCACGGCGACGGTGCGCGCGCCATCGGACGTGTTCGTCATCTGCAGGGTGACGGCGACGTCCTGGAAGATGTGGTGCAAGAGCAGTGAATACAACAGACGCATATTACGATGTGATCATAATAAAAAGCCACGGTGATCACAGCGAACCACAGCAGTCTATCTAAGCAAGGTCAAGTGAAACAGGCGATAGCAGCGCCACCTACGAGTACTTCTCACCTCGCCCACGCCGACCGCGTCGTCGCCCGATACGACCTTGAACTTGACGTCGTCCTCCATCTTCTTATCGTAAATGTTCTGATCGCGACGCGAGCTGAACTTGTTCGCGTGAAACACGGACAGCCGTTCTTCTTCCGTGCCTGCAACACATGGCGCCAGCATGTCACAGCCACGCGAGTCGAGCGACACCCCCCCTGAATCGCTGCGGCAACGCGCGCGCGCGCGAGAGGCGCGGCGCGGCGCACTCACCCTCGGTGTGCTTGTAGTTGTGCGTGAGGTCGAGGCGTTCGTCGCTTCCGACGGCCTTCGTGCTGATGTTCTGACCGATGCAGTGCTTGCTCATGCCGTCAGCCGTCATCGTGCCGTCCTGCGAGGAAACACACCGACACCTGTCAACAACGCGCGCACAGACGGCGACCTAACAAATCCACACCTGCACAGCCTGCTGGATACCATGCACACCCACCCGCCTCAGAACCGATCGCGCTGCTTACCTTGTGCACGACCCAGTACACCTTATCCCCGTTGACCTCGGCGAACAAAAACGAGGTGTCGTGTGGCAGATACACGTCTCCCTTCTTGACGGCATTGACGGGTGCTGGTCCACACCGCATGACACCTGTCACAGCAAGGTCACGCCAATGTTAGAGCCACACGAAGAACATGTACACCCATTATATTATATTGTAATATATTACATGTTCAAGAGCACATAAGCTACAGTGCAAACAATGATAAAAACCGCGAACATTGTACATTCAGTCCAATTGTTCAAGATTATTTTAAGCAATTCAAGATAAATCTATTTACTTAGTGTAATTATTTAACATTAAGAAGAAAGATTTTTTTTTAAATTGTTCACTAAATCCATAGCCTACATTCTACGACAGCCCTACACACTCACACTCCCGCACGCACGCACGCATGCCCGCCCGCACGCACACACACACACACACACACACACATAAAGTGAAACAGATGACACCCATGTACAAGTGTTGAGTGTTCGCTTTACCTTCGCTGACTTCCTGAGGAGTAGCATCGTAAGCCTGCCATCCTCCGTAGCCGCTCGGCAAGTCCGGCCGCCGGAACCACGACTCATTCCACACGTGGAAGTTCCTGCAGTAGCGACAACCCACGGTCAGATATTACAATGGGGCATGGGTGACGCCCTCTGGTTATGCACACGTCTACATCGATGAAGCACTTGGCCTGATATTACAGTGCGACATGGCTTCTAGCAGTGCACACTGCTACGTGAATTACGCACCAGAGCAGATAATTAGTGGTGCACAGGTGGCGCCCTCCAGTGATACACACGTCTACATTGATTACACACGAGGTCAGATATCACACTGGGGCTCGGATAGCGCCCTCTAGTGATGCACACATCTACACTGATTACACACGGGGTCATACACTGGAGACCAAGTTGCACCTACTATACCTATTATACCTAGTATCATTACACTGGAGACCAAGTAGCACCCTCTACCAGCAAGCACATGCACACGGATTATGCACGGAGTAAACAATTACAGCAGGGGCTTGGACAACGATACCATCTATCGGTGCACACGCCTGAGCGTACACGACTCGCGCGCGCACTCACCACACGGAGTCGTTGAGGTAGTCGACCGGCTGGTCGTCCTCGTCGTAGTGGAAGTCGACAGTCATGCTCGCATCCGTGTCGTGCGCCGACTCGAAACACGTCACCGGTCGCGTGGGAATGCCCAGCGCACGCGCCACTGCGTGATGGAAACGATAGAACACGTCAGTGAACAAACGTAGCATAGCACGTACAACGCAGGCACCACTGCACGACAGAAACGATAAAAGTAGCAATAAAGGATAGAAGTAAACGAGCAAAGCAAACGCGACATGACACGCACGATCTTTTCTTTCCCATTTTTCGCCGTAGAACCGCCGTGCTCAATGTCCATGACTCCATGCTCTCCGCGTGTGCGTCATTCACAAGGCTGCTGTGTGCCATCTGTGTCGCACACACTGCCTAGTGCTCCCCCCGCATTTCCACGTCTCACATGTCTCACATACGCCACAGCGACACAGTCACTTACACGTCACTTACATGCCGCACTCACAACGCACGTTACGACGTCTCCAGGGTTCATAGTAGTAAGACACATGTTGAAATAAGGACTTATAAGACCCTTTCTGGAGGCCAAAATAAGACGTTTTTACGTGATTTCTGATAGACCACCGACTATTAAAGTACACTAATAATATTTATATACACAATTGCACAGCAGATTTAATTATTCCGTATTATATATACAACAATTCTTACTCTAAGTCGAGAACAGTAAGTCGAAAAATAAGGACTATTAAGTACTTTTCTAAGATTTCACCAAAAATAAGTACTAATAAGGGCCCTTATTTTATTTTTGGCAAAATAAGTACTTATAAGACTTTGGAAGACCCGCTACGAACCCTGGTCTCTCACTTAAAAGAGCGATGCGCATGTTAACGAGGTGTTCGGGGGCGGGTACGGCTGGATGCGTGGCGCAGAAGGGTTCGGGCGTGAGCTGAGTGTACGTACGCGTCGTGCAGAGTCCGGCGAACACCCAGCACTGTCCGTACTTGACCGCCTTGTAGTCGTTATCCGCAAAATTCCCGAGTATCTCGCCGCTTCCCGTCCAAGCCGTCGGCGGCGTCGACGATGATGGGTAGGTCTTCGTCCACCTTCCCTCTAAAACGCCCCCATCCTCGTCGTTGCAGTTCACCTGCGAGCAATCCCGCGGCTCTTTAGTAATGGTAGGGTCGGTCGCTCGATTCTCGTACAAAGCAACGAGCACTGATCAATCAGGAATAGTTAAGGCCCCACGCAGACGCCATCACACTTATTTGTAAAGAAACACTGTGCATGCAAACAAAGCAATATCATCTCACCACCTCACCCCAGCCCTGATTAGGCAAGACGGATGGATAACCACCCTCCCGTTTCTGCTGGGGCGGAAGAGTTCAAACCCCACACCTTGTTAACGAAGTCAAGCACTCGTTACTTTCCCACCCCAAGACTGGGCGGTTGCCTTACCATTGCGGAAAGCACTCGAATGACCTGGCAAGGATTGCTGCGAGCGCTCGAGCCCAGCTCTGCCTTGTCCAGCAGATATAAAGCCGTCTCCAGCGACACATCCTCAAACTGGAAGTCATAAAATAGCATTCAAACGCAGACACCACAGTTCAGGAATATGTTTGTACGAATATCTGACACACGCGCACGTAGCTGAATGCTGGACTAAGGCTTCTCACCCCACAGGACTAGCGATCGTAGAGTTATCTACAATTCGCTATAGACATCTAGAAATTTTACTAACTTTACTTTAAACGAGCTATCTAAATACGCGGATTCATTCAGGAAGTGTAGACGCTGCAGCCTCATACCACCTAACACGTGACATGGCGTGTACCTGTGCATAGTTCCAGTTTAACGGCCCGTAGCGACGCCAGTTGCCGACCCAGATGCTGCCAGTCTCGTTTAACACATACTCCTCCCGCTCTGCCTCGTCCTCAATGTAAACATCGTCCTCTGTAAAAAAAAATGGAGTGAGACTGAGACAGAGCGAGGACGATTGAGATTCGTAACTCCCCGCAGCATTCGCACGAGCGACTTGTGCATTTAATGTAATGTGTAAAAATTTAATGGAGACAGATTTGTCACCCACCTGGATATACCGGCTGTTTAGAGAGCCACACCTATCGATCATATACATCACCAGTCGCTAGCACACGTCACACCCGTCGCTAGCACACGTCACACCCGTCGCCAGCACACGTCACACCATACATCACACCCGTCACCAGCACACGTCACACCTGTCACCAGCATACATCACACCCGTCACCAGCATACGTCACACCCGTCACAAGCCTACGTCACACACGTCACCAGCACACGTCACACCTGTCACCAGCATACATCACACCCGTCACCAGCACACGTCCCACCCGTCACCAGCACACATCACACCCGTCACCAGCACACGTCCCACCCGTCACCAGCACACGTCACACCCGTCACTAGCACACATCACACCCGTCACCAGCACACGTCACACCCGTCACCAGCACACGTCACACCCGTCACAAGCCTACGTCACACCCGTCACCAGCATACGTCACACCCGTCACCAGCATACATCACACCCGTCACCAGCGCACGTCACACCCGTCGCTAGCACACGTCACACCCGTCGCCAGCACACGTCACACCCGTCACCAGCACACGTCACACCCGTCACCAGCACACGTCACACCTGTCACCAGCATACATCACACCTGTCACCAGCATACGTCACACCTGTCACCAGCACACGTCACACCCGTCACCAGTATACATCACACCCATCGCCAGCACACATCCTACCTGTCACCAGCATACGTCACACCCGTCACCAGCACACGTCACACCCGTCACCAGCATACGTCACACCCGTCACCAGCACACGTCCCACCCGTCACCAGCACACGTCACACCCGTCACCAGCATACATCACACCCGTCACCAGCACACGTCACACCCGTCACCAGCATACATCACACCCGTCACAAGCCTACGTCACACACGTCACTAGCACACATCACACACGTCACGTCCGTCACCAGCATACATCACACCCATCACCAGCGTTCGCCACACCTGTGACGTCACAAACATCACCGGCATCAGGCCACGCCCGCCGCCGCGCTTCGCACCTGGAGCCCACGGGTTGAAGAGCAGGTAGATGTCGTCGTCGTGCTTGTATCGGTGGTGCAGGACGCCGTCGGCATCCTGGGCGACCGTCTCGACGTAGAGGCTGTACTGGCCGACGATGGCGTCCGCGCGCGTCATCACGCGCACGTTCGCCGTCTTGTCGCCGATATTCAGCAGCTGCGCACACCACCTGGTGGCGCAAACGCAACGTCGGACACGGTTGCAATCGAGTGAAAATTTGCAGTTGAGGGAAAAATGTTTAAGGGGAGGAGAGGGGAGGGAAAATTGCGGTGGGAATTTGCAGCGGTTTGTGAATGCTTCAACACCGCAGCGATGGCTCAATGGTAGAGTGCTCGCCTCGCATGAGGAAGGTCGGGAGTTCAACTCCTGGCCGGGTCATACCAGACTTAAAAAATGGTACACACGGCTTCTCTGCTTATCATTCAGCAAATAGAGATAGAGCGTGGAAAGTTAACTCGCAGTGCTACCAGTGGACTAACCCCCCGCTGTAGTATTTACTGTGAAAGCAGCTGTGGGGCCTCGGGTTAAGGAAATGGAGATAGGCACCGCCCTATGCGCCACATAGGCGCGCGAAGGATTTAACTTGTGAATGGTTTTCTTGCCGAGGCAGATGAAATTGACGTGATCGGAAAGTTAACAGATAATAATATGGTTGTATTAACATTGTAATATAACTGAAATGAAACTCACAATAGTTTAATGATTGCATATGCTAAAATAGTAAAACCCCTTACGTGCCAACAACTTGTACTGTACCCATTTCATGCCTATAGACGGAGCCATTAGTACAGATACAATTAATTCTAATAGATTTAAATACCTGTTTAAATGTGATATATATATATATATATAATGTTGTGAGGGCATTGTATTGTCAGACTGATCCTATATGTTGTATGTGTAGGTTTAAGCTGGCCTCCATAGCAGTCGTCACTCAGCTAATCTTCCATGAATCAAGTATATTTCAAGGTCGTCGATATAAGGCACATAGACCATAAACACTCTGTTAAGCATTTATTTAACTTTTAACAATGTTGTTTCACATTCTATTATACTGTCCCTCATGTTATGCATCTGGAATTAACCTATGGGTTGTGACTTCTGTATTCTGAGGAAAATGTGACAACCCTTACTTTCCATTACAATATATATATATGGATTCAACACAAGAAGTATTTAATTCGTAAACATGAAATTCAGACAGCATACCTGTCAATGTGGTATTGTTCCTTGTGCACTTCCAATCTTCTTACTGTTCCCTTGCTTTCCTGAGGTCTTTTACCTACATCGAAATTCACCACATCAAGAATAGCCTTTTTAACCATCATGAAATATCTAGTACTGAGCATTCACGCACAAGAGACATGCAACGTTATTTTATTACAGTGACTCGCAAAAGCACGATGCTTCCCGGCGTGCTCACCTTCAATGCTTCCGCGTCCCCTTCCTACGTAAATTTTCCCCTCACCTGTCACTAGTGTTGTCAATCGGTTGTAATTTCGTAATCGATCATCGGTTGGACCCAAGTAACCGATGATCGGTTACAATCGGTTACTCGGGGTGTTGAATGCCTGCGTGTGCGTAACGTCGTGTGCATGTAAACATAAAATAAAGTGGCGTTTTCGTCACATTTTTCTTGTTGTCCACGGACAATGTTCAGACTGTTAGGTTGTCCGGCGCAAATCTGGTTGTCTCGGACAACCGGACAACGGCTTATTTTCGAGCACTGGTATCTATCTCAAACTCACAATAACTAACTTACATTTAAAATCACTATTGTACAGGACATTGCAGTCGCAAGGTACTTACCGCGGCGCACCTATTTTTGCAGTGTGTGTCGACGAGGACTCGTCGTGATGCCAAGCTGGGCCATGAAGAGAATCTGGTGGGAGACGTGTCGAAATGGCGGACGAGGCATTCCTTGAGAAGCGTCAGTCCTGAAGCAGATCGCTGAAGAAAGCAAGGAAGGTAAACATCTTAGCTGTGGCGCGAGATGAGACGCCTATGAGGCTCCTGATTGGTCGGTTTCTACGAGGCCCCTGATTGGTCGGCTGCTACGAGGCTCCTGATTGGTCGATTTCTACGTGAGGCCCCTGATTGCTCGGCTGCGCGGATTCGCGCTGTCGCTCTGCTTGGAAAAATTACAATGTCTCGATATTGCTTTTTTTTACATTTGGCATGTCACAGCCCCATGTTCTTCCTTGCCCTTGCAAGATCCCCATGCTGTTTGTTTACGTCGCCGTAGCACGCAGCTTGGCGTCGTCAGGCGTGAACACGCACCTGGAGGAGAACCGCAGCGCCCACTGGTGCGAGGAGTACGAGACGGAGAAGCTTGTCGTTCGGCGCGGGCAGGCGTTCGAGCTGACGATAACGTCGCCCGGAACTACGACCCGGAAGCGACACCATCATCCTGCAGTTTGTGACAGGTAGTGATGTCAACGCATTCATTCGATATATACTCGATCGTTTAAGCAGTGGCCCTCGACGCAAGCGCTTGGTTATAAAATCCATAATCAATTTCATTAAAAAAAAAAAACGTTGGAAAAGTGATGAGATCAGTCATAGTATTATATCACACAAGTAATAAAGCAGTGCAAACACAAACAGTAAACATGGGCTAAACAGCACATACATCACACACTGTACA